TTGTCACTTCGGCTTCCAGGAAGCTCCTTTCTCCAAAAGCTTCTTGAAAGAAACACCTGTCCTCATGAAGGCTCAGGATAAACTTTCCCTGTAGGCATCAGGCAGTCTGGACTGCCAAATATTATGTTTGACCGGTATATAGATGTGTTGGTAAGAGTTTATATTTTACTATGAATAGGTTTGCTGTCACACTGAACGTTAGCATAGCAAGTCCAAACATATTGAAATCCTTCAAAAGACAGTGTCTTTAGAAATAGAGAATTATATCAAACTGTTACTACCTCTTACCAAGACAGGTACAAAATATAATTATATTGTGTTGCTTAGAAAATTCCTGGTATAGGCATAATCAGTGCATTTTGGTACTTATCCTATTAAGGCCGGAGTGCTACAGTGTAGGATTAGGCAAACCAACAAGAGGCATTTTGGTAGATTTGAAGTCTATATTAGACACAAAAAAGAGGGTTGGCATAAGATATAAACTCCATGAGTAGGTAATGTCATTCCAGGATGAAATCATTAATTCTTTGAACATTTCCATTTTTAACCTGTTGAAATAATTTCTGGTTTACATACATTCCAGGTTGTAGCATAAAAATGGATTATTTTCCCAATGAAATCGAAAGAAAATAATCCATTTGACAGGTTAAATTATAAATACAAATGGTAACTACAATTTTTATGAAATGTGTTCCTCAACAAAGGTTTGAACAAATTATGCAGGGAAGCTATTTGCAATTCAAGACAATAAAAACAAACAAGTGATTTTCATTTTTTAAATGGAGATAAATGCACTTGTGTATGTAATTACCTGAGGTTACACATATAGTTTTAACTAATCTGTGTCTTCCTTATGTTTCATACCTATGATCTCCAGCAATATTTGCATATGAGTCATATTTAACCATCTAACTAAATGATGTCTGTAAGCTTTTGGAGGTCATGAGATTAATAATTTTGATATTGTGCAAGAAAATAATGCATATCAGGAACTGAATTTGTTATAACTGTGAGGGTATTAAAGGGTAGAAAAAGGGGAATATAAGAATTTGTGCTGGTGTTTTATAGCTGATGGGAGTGAAGTGGTTGTGGATGTTGCTTTTAGTTTTGTACAGGCAGTCCCCGACTTATGCGGATCCGACTTATGTCGGATCCGCACTTACGAACGGGGCTTTTCTCGCCCCGGAGCTCACGGGCGGCAGGTCGCCACCCGTGTCCTCCAGGGTGAGAAAAGCTTCTCCCGGTCTCCCTGGTCTGCTGGGGGTTCCAGCAAAGCTGCTGGACCCCCCCAGAAGACCAGGGACACCCGAGCAAAGCCGCCGCCTGGGCGGCTTTGCTCATTTGCCCGGGAGCAAAGTCGCCCAGGCAGTGGGACCCCCGCCGCCTGGGCGGCTTTGCTCTTGTCCCCCTGGTCTGCTGGGGGGGGCCAGCTGGGCGGCTTTGCTCAGGTCTCCCTGGTCTGCTGCGGGGGAAGGGGCACAGCTAGTGCGCTCCCCCCCCCCCCCGCCGACCCAGCTTTTTGT